AGGCAATTGGGGCCAAATTTTTTTAACCCAAGAAACATATGCCACTTTAAAGGGAAGACTAAGAGGATGGGCAGCACTTTTCACCATTTTGCAGGCCTAAGGTAGTAGTGATTGGTGTTCAGGGGCCATCAAGGTGAAAAGAAGCAGTACAGTGCCGGTGAAATCCTTTCATTTGGGTTAGCCCTGAAAGTTCTCAAGCTATCAGTAATAGCTGATATGAAGTTTAAGGATGAAGCTGAATTCTTAAATGGAGAAGAGAGAGAGAATGGGACAATAGCAATATATGAAGCAATAATAGCTGAGCATCTTCTTTTTCTTTTCCTTTATTTATTTATTTATTTATTTATTTTTGAGATGGAGTCTTGCCCTTTTGCCCAAGCTGGAGTGCAATGGCATGGTCTTGGCTCACTTCAACCTCTACCTCCTAAGTTCAAGCCATTCTCCTGCCTCAGCCTCCTGAGTAGCTGGGATTACAGGTACCCGTCATCACATCCAGCTAATTTTTGTATTTTTAGTAGGGTGGGGTTTCAGCATGTTGGCCAGGCTGTTCTCAAACTCCTGATCTCAAGTGATCCACACACCTTGGCCTCCCAAAGTGCTGAGATTACAAGCAGTTACCACCACACCCAGCCTGAGCATTTTTTTTTTCTTTTGAGACGGAGTTTCACTCTTGTTACCCAGGCTGGAGTGCAATGGTGCGATCTCGGCTCACTGCAATCTCTGCCTCCTGGGTTCAGGCAATTCTCCTGCCTCAGTCTCCCGAGCAGCTGGGATTACAGGCACGCACCACCGTGCCCAGCTAATTTTTTGTAATTTTAGTAGAGACGGGGTTTCACCATGTTGACCAAGATGGTCTCGATCTGTTGGCCTCGTGATCCACCTGCCTCGGCCTCCCAAAGTGCTGGGATTACAGGCTTGAGCCACCGCACCCGGCCGAGCATTTTTTAAAAATGACAAATGACATTATTTGATAGAAGCAAGAGCCATAAAATTAAAGCAAGATAAAAAAAGAACCCACACCCAGACATATTATTGTAAGCTCCTGAAAACCAAAGATAAAATCTTAAAAGTATCTGGAAGAAACGGTTATCAAGAAATACAATAAGACTGACGTCTGATTTTTCAACACAAGAAACAAGAGCCAGCAGAAAGTGGAATTCTATCTTGAAGATACTACATGTAATTAACTGACAACCCTGAATTCTATATCCTGTGAAAATAACCTTTTTTTCTTTTTCTTTTTCTTTTTTTCTTGAGACGGAGTTTCGCTCTTGTTACCCAGGCTGGAGTGCAATGGCTTGATCTCGGCTCACTGCAAGCTCCGCCTCCTGGGTTCAGGCAATTCTACTGCCTCAGCCTCCTGAGTAGCTGGGATTATAGGCACGTGCCACCATGCTCAGCTAATTTTTTGTATTTTTAGTAGAGACTGGGTTTCACCATGTTGACCAGGATAGTCTCGATCTCTTAACCTTGTGATCCACCTGCCTCAGCCTCCCAAAGTGCTGGGATTACAGACTTGAGCCACCACGCCGGCCTTTTTCTTTTTTTAAGAGATGAGGTCCCACTACAGTGCCCAGGCTGGAGTACAGTGGCTATTCACAGGCATGATCCGAGCACACCGCAGTCTCAAACTCCTGGGTTCAAGTGATCTTCTCACCTCAGCCTCCTAAGTAGCAAAGACTATAGGCCCATGCTACCACACCTAGCTTGAAATAGTCTTTTAAACACAAAGTAGAATATATACTTTTCTTTAACAAAAATGAATAGAATTTCTTATCCTCAGATTTGCTCTCAAGAAAATAAAGGAAGTGCCTTAAGCATTTAAAAAATGACCCCAGATGGAAACTCAGATATGTAGGAAAAATTAAAGAGTAATAGAAAGCGTAATATTAGGTGTGACCTAATAACTGCTGACTGTGAATAATTTTAAAAGGAATTTAACTATATATAGAATTTAACAATATTACATAGCAGCAATAACACATATCTCTCTGATGGGTGGAGGGAAGAAAGGAGAATGTAACTGAAGTTAAAATTGCTAAGATTTTTGCATTGTAAAAGTACCTGTTTGAGTATCAATAAGTCAAGTTTGTATATTACAATATCTGGTATAATCTCTAAAAGACTAGTAAAAGACTGTTCAACAAAATAATTTTTAAAAAGAGAAAACCAGAAATATAGAAGGCAAGTAGGAAGATGATAAATATAAATCCAAATATAAATAGACTAAACACTCCAATTAAAATACAAAGATTGTCAGACTGAATAAAACAAAAGAAACAATTGTATCTCCTTATAAGAGAGATATTTTACATCTAAAGACACAGAAAGTTAACAGGAGAAAGGACTAAAAAGTACATATTATATAAATAATGATCAAATATGTAAGCATACTAATGACAAAGTATATATTAAGACAAGAAGACTGGCTGGGTGTGGTAGCTCACGCCTGTAATCCCAGCATTTTGGGAGGCCAAGGCGGGTGGATCGCGAGGTCAGGAGTTCAAGGCCAGCCTGGCCAACATTGTGAAACCCCATCTCTACTAAAAATATAAAACTTAGCTAGGTGTGGTAGCAGGCACCTGTAATCCCTGCTACTTGGGAGGCTGAGGCAGAATTGCTTGAACCTGGGAGGTGGAGGTTGCAGAGAACCAAGATTGTGCCACTGCACTCCAGCCTGGGTGATGGCAAGACTCCATCTCTGAAAAAAAACAAAAAAACAAGAAGACCAAGAAACAAAGGATTATACAATGTTCATGAACTGATACAATATTGTAAACATATCAGTTCTCCACAAATTGATCTATATAAACTCAATTCAATTCCTAGAATTTTTATGAACATTGGTAAGTTGATTCTAAAATGCAAAGAGACAAAAATAGCCAAGATGGTCTTATAGAAGAAGGACAAAACAGAAGGATTTAGTCTACCAGATATACAAACTTACAAACTAGGCCAGGTGCAGTGGCTCACACCTATAATCCCTGCACTTTGGAATGCTGAGGAGGGTTGATTGCTTGAGCCAAGCACCTCAAGACCAGCCTGGGCAACATGGCAAAGCTCCATCTTTACCCCCAAAAATACAAAAATTAGCCAAGCATGGTGGCACACGCCTGTAGCCCCAGCTACTTGGAAGGCTGAGGTGGAAGAATCACTTGAGCCCAGGAGGCAGAGATTGCAGTGAGCCAGATCATGCCACTGCACTGCAGCCTGGGTGACAGAGCGAGACCCTGTCTCAAAAAAAAACTTACAGACTAGAATAAATATGATTGTGGGCTACTGGCACAAGCTTAAACAAATAGACCAATGGGACAGAATAAAATCTTGCCTATATACGAGAACATGTAGCAAAAGGAATATTCAGAACAGTGGAGAAAAGATGGTATTTTCAATAAATGTTTCTGGGACAACTGGATATCCATAAGAGAAAAGTCATAAGATTTGACTGTGTCAAACACCATAATTAAGATCAAGAACAAGTATTTGATAATGTTAAATTTTAACAAATATCTACTGTAACCACTAAAAGACAGAAACAAAGTGTATAATTTCTGAGTTAGTAGAAAAAAAGAAATGATAAATATAATCAATCCAAATAACAAAAGAAAAGAAAGTAGAGAACTGGTAATACAGTAGCACATATTAAGGTGGTAAATATATATTTTCAAAATACATCAGATATTATATTACATGTAAATGGAATAAATGCTCCAATTAAAAGGCAAATATTATCAAACAGGAAAAAAGCAAAATATAACTATATGGTTTTCACAAGAAATACATCTAAACAAAAATTCAGAAAAAATAGGGGGCCAGGAGCAATGGCTCTCTACTAAAAAATACAAAATTATTCAGGGGTGGTGGTGCGTGCCTGTAACCCCAGCTACTGGGGAGGCTGAAGCAGGAGAATCACTTGAACACAGGAGGCAGAGGTTGCAGTGAGCTGAGATTGCATCATTGCATTCCAGCCTGGGCAACAAGAGCAAAACTCGGCCTCAAAAAAAAAAAAAAAAAAACAAATTCCAGGATACATACCAAGCTCTTTGTATATCCTTAAATGCACATTTGAGGGGAAAAAAGGGCAGGAAATTAGCGAAGCATCTATCTCAACAAATTAGGAAAAAGCTGCAAAATAAACCCATACAAATAAGTAGAAGAAATGAAATAATAAAGAACAAAAATTAATGAAATAGAAAAGAAATACACATGATCAACAAAGTCAAACATTGGTTCTTTCTAAAGATAAATAAAATTTAATTGAACTTCTGATGAGATGGATGGAGGAGAAGGGCAAAGATTTAACATAGTAGGCCTAAAACTGCTATTATTCTTAGAAAGATTGGCTTGCAAAGTGGGCCCTTGATTGGCACCTGGAAACTTGGATTCAGGAAGGTTCTCTTCATATCCAAAACTGACAAAGTTAGGCAAACAATATTGTTTGTGCTGAATACCTGCTTTACTACTGGAAGTTTAAAACTTTGGTTAGTGCCAGGCAGAGGGCCTATGTGACCCATTCCGAATAAAAGCCCTGGGTACTGAGTATCTAATGAATTTCCTTGGTAGACAATATTTCACACATATTGTCACAATCCACTGCTGGAGGAAATAAATGTGTCCTGTGTCTCCACTGGAAAAGGACTCTTGGAAACTTGTGCCAGGTTTGTCTGGAATTCAATCCATGTGCTTTTTCCCTTTGCTGATTTTGCTTTATATCCTTTCACTGTAATAAATCATAGCCATGAGTACAACTATACGCTGAGGACTGTGAGTCCTCCTAACAAGTCATCAAATGTGAGGGTGGTCTTTGGGACTCCTAACACAGATTATAGATACATGATTGATAAATACACAGAAATATACAGAAAGAAGAAAAAAACACTTTAAAATCAGGTTTACATTCACCAGATAAATGAATTTGCATATCTAATCACTGTATTTCTTATTGCCAAAAAACAAATTTATACTCATATTTTTTCAATTTAATATATGCATTTACACACCTTTAGTAACTTGATTTCTCGCATTGCAATCTTCTTAACCATTTTGTCATCGTCACTTTCTAAGAACTTCTTGATGGCCACAATTCTTCCAGTATCTTTATTCCTGCACTTCATCACCATTCCATAACTCCCTTCTCCAACCAATCCCAGGTTCTCATATTTTTCCATTTTAATTTAAAGCCAGTAGAAACTTTGCTGTGGAAGCCAAAACATAGAATTAACAGTGTTGAGTGTGTTAACTTCCCTCACCTTTCCGGGAAATTAATTCTTCCCTGCCTGTTTTCCATATTAGAGTAGTCACTGTGTTCATGACTGCCTGTGTTAATTCACAATTTCCTAGTGTTTCTACATGTAAGCTATGTTTTCAGAATGGTCACACACATTTCGTAATAGACAAAGCAAATGGAATTGAAGCCATTAACTTCAAATTACTAAATGCCATGTTCATGAAATTCCATATTTTTAATTCTAATAAAGCAATATTTGAGCTATCATATATAACAATTAAAACTAACATTAAAAAGGACAATTCCAGCCTGGGCAACATAGCAAGACCCTGTCTCTACAAAAAACATTTTTAAATTAGCTGGGTGTGGTGGTGTATGCCTATGGTCCCAGCTACTTGGGAGGCTGAGGTGGAAGAATCACTTGAGCCGAGGAGGTTGAGGCTGCAGTGAGCTATGATGGCACTGCACACCAGCCTGAAAAATAAAACAAGAATCTGTCTTAAAAAAAAACCACACAGGTTGTGCATGGTGGCTCATGCCTGTAATCCCAGCACTTTGGGAGGCCGAGGCAAGCAGATTACCTGAGGTCAGGAGTCTGAGACCAGCCCAGCCAACATGGTGAAACCCCATCTCTACTAAAATTACAAAAATTAGCCAGGCATGGTGGTGCATGCCCATAGTCCCAGCTACTCGAGAGGCTGAGGCAGAAGAATCACTTGAACCCAGGAGGCAGAGGTTGCAGTGAACTGGGATCGCACCACCGCACTCCAGCCTGGGCAACAGAGTGAGACTCTGTCTCAGGAAAAAAAAAACAAAAACACAATTCCTTTTCACTCAAAGGTGCATAACTGAATTTGGTGGGGGTTGTGTGTTTGTTTTTGGGATGGAGACTCGTTCCGTTGCCCAGGCAGGAGTGAAGTGGTGTGATCTCGGCTCACTGCAACCTCCGCCTCCCGGGTTCCAGCGATTCTCCTGCCTCAGCCTCCCGAGTAGCTGGGACTACAGGCTCGCGCCACCACGCTTAACTAATTTTTGTATTTTTTTCGCCCCTCTCCACCTCCAATTTTTGTATTTTTAGTAGACAGGGTTTCACCACGTTGGCCAGGATGGTCTGGATCTCTTGACCTTGTGATTCACTCACCTTGGCCTCCCAAAGTGCTGGGATTACAAGCACTCCTGACCTCAAGTGATCCACCCACCTTGGCCTCCAGAAGTGCTGGAATTACAGGCATGAGCCACAGCTCCCGGCCTGAATTTGGTTTTAACGAAGATCAACTTTTTTTGCGACATTGGATTTAGATCAATGTTGGAAATATCTATGCACCTTCCACTTAACTGGAAAAAAAATTTTGATCACAAAAATAAAATTAGCACAGGCCGGGTGCAGTGGCTCACACAATCCCAGCACTTTGGGAGGCCAAGGTGGGCGGATCCGAAGTTGGGAGTTCAAGACAGCCTGGCCAACATGGTGAAACTCCGTCTCTACTAAAAATACAAAAATCAGCTGGGCGTGGTGGTGTGCTTCTGTAATCCCAGCTACTCGGGAGGCTGAGGCATAAGAACCACTTGAACCCGGCAGGGGGAGGCTGCAGCGAGCTGACACCATGTCATTGCACTCCAGCGTGGGCGACAGAGCGACACTCGGTCTAAAAAAAAATTACCACAGAGCATCTTTGATAAAATATTTTTCTTTACTTTTCTTACAATACTAATTACTATATTGAACTTAGAAAATAAGAGTAATGACATCAGTATATAAGCAGATTTTTTAAATGAAATTAAATAGTAGTAGTACCAAATACAGTAAAAGTATTTCAAAAATCCTGTCAATGATTACTTACTATAAGTATAATTTGAATTTGTGTTTGATATTTTTTACTCACATTATATGACGTTTTCTGAATAAAGGCAATCCTAAGACAATCTTTCTTGTTTTACCAAAGATTGACGAAGGTCCAGAAATCATTGTACAAATGTTTTGGTAGAGAGAAAAAAATTATTTCAGTCCAAATACAGATAGATTTTAATTCATAAGGTTTGACTGTCACGATATATATGTTACTAAACTATAACTCCAAAGTTAACTTTACTTTTAAAATATGATTTTGAAATTAAATTCCAGGAGCTAAGAATAAAAAATGCTGCTCTAAATCCCAATGTGGTTCCAAAGGTTTCAGGAGAAAAAAATGAAGTCTTTTAATAAACACATATCCAACTATGATTCAGAGTTGATTTTTTTTTAAACCTGACAATATAAAAATGCTCATTTATTAAACTTCAGAAAGAGAAAAAATTCTTGCCTATTATATTGTGTACTTAGAGCAATCTAAAATTGATTTACTTAGATTGTGAATTGTTTTTCCTGTTTCTCTATTGGAAAAGTGATGCAAAGACAAAACAAATATTCTCTTTGTTCTAGCAAACTATGCTAATCCAATGTATACATTTCCCACACTTGACATATAAGTTTGAGATTTTGTTTGTTTGAGATGGAGTCTCACTCTGTCAACAGGCTGGAGTGCAGTAACATGATCTTAGCTCACTACAATCTCTGCCTCCCAGGCTCAAGCGATGCTTGTGCCTCAGCCTCCCAAGTAGCTGGGGTTACAGGTGCCCACCACCATACCTGACTAATTTTCATATTTTTAGTAGAGATGGGGTTTCACCATGTTGGCCAGGCTGGTCTCGATCTCCTGACCTCAGGTGATCCACCCACCTCAGCCTCCCAAAGTGCTGGGATAATAGACATGAGCCACCACACCCGGCTGAGATTTTATAATATACTTATTTTTAATGGAGATATACATGGAGAACCAAAAGATTGATCTTAGGGGGTGGGAAATGAAAACAATACCAATGAACATCAACTTAAATTATTTCATTATTTTACTACCAGTTTTCATAGCAGATTCTACCATAAACTTTTTACAGAACAGTGTCCCAGACACTAACTTTCCATGCATTTGACATTTTACCTTCTATTTCACTTTCATTAACTATTTGTTAACAAAATGCTGGTATTTGAAAAAAATTCTCCATATAATTCTATCTATTCTTAATTTTTTTTCTCTTCCATTAAGAGAGTATGTTTTATTAAGGACTAGGCTTTAGGTTTATCATACCAATGACAAAAATAGCTTGAATCTATAACCTGGATCATTTTAAAACATTTTGTAATTGGTGCCCTCAATATTTGAAAATGAAAAGTGAACGAAAAAAATGACTTTAAGCATGTCTGAAGTGTTCTGAAGCATATCACATACTAACATTAATGCAAGTTGATTGCTTCAAGTTTATTCCCCCAATCAGGTTGCATATCAGAACACACCACATTGAACACACCTGCTTTTTCAAGTGGCACCGTCCATAAATACTTTAAAAGTGTCATAGCCTAAAAAGCCTCTTGTTTCCTGAAACAGTTACTCACAAACTATAACTTCTCATGCCTTCCACTCTTGAATGGAAGGGTAATATAACCGAAAAAGAAACCCGGCCAATGGGCAATGTGGCATTTCTAAATGGTTCTAATATCAAAAACTTAGATAAAATATTTGGAGAATGCTAATTTTTTATTTTGTTTAAGACAGATTGAAGGGCCTGTAATCCTAACCCTTTGGGATGCCAAGGCGGGCGGATCACCTAAGGTCGGGAGTTTGACCAGCCTGACCAAGATGGAGAAACTTCATCTCTACTAAAAATACAAAATTAGCCAGGCGTGGTGGCAAATGCCTATAATCCCAGCTCCTCGGGAGGCTAAGACAAACAAGAGAATAGCTTGAACCCGGGAGGCGGAGGTTGCGGTGAGCTAAGATCGTGCCACTGGACACTCTAGCCTGGGCAACAAGAGCAAATTTCTATCTCAAAAAACAAAACAAAAAAGATAATATTTTATAGATCAAAAAACGAGATAATTATAGCTTTTAAAAGTACTATACTTACTGTTTCTTCAATCCGTTTGCATGGAAAGACCCAAAGGTTTTCAACTTGGAAACAAATTGGAGGTGAAATGCATATCGCTTGCTGGTCCAAAAGATGCTGCCTAGCAAACTAGCAGTCGCAGCGCTGTTGTGATTTCTTCGCAAGTCCTGAGCGACGCAGGCAAGGAGGCAGGTGGGCCTCGGTCCGCCGCAAGCTCACACTTAGGAGGACCATTGGCCACATGCTGTCGTCGTCAAGGCAACGACCTCACGCTGTCCCCAACCACAGGCACAAAGTCCTGGGAGACAGATACGGCCCAGGTCAGAATGCGTTCACGGCAGGCACCAACATCTGTGAAGGCCAAGGGCTAGAGAGAAATTAGCTGGGTGAGAGGCACCACCTCCCAGCTCCTAAGGCCCTTAGTCCCTGGAGTCTGGAAACCTGCACCACTCCAACTACCCCTGGACTAAGGCGTTGGCCGCGGAGCCGCAAGGGGGCGGTTCCTCACCCGCCCTGAGTGCACCAGGCCTCCCTTGTTCTGATTGGACGAGCCCTGTCGTCACGAGCCATGATTGGCTAAGGGCCAACCACCCAGCCCCTTCACCTAGGGCTCGGCCCAGGTTCTGCTCCCTTACGCGCAGAGGCCCTGCGTCCCCAAACGCCTTGGTTCTCGCCAGGAGGCGCCTTTCTTCCTTCGCGGGGGGCAGGAGGCGATTGTGGCGCCCACTGCGAAGACTATGCAGAGTGCGATAAGGTGTCCCTCACAGTCATGCCGCTGGGGCGGGGAGGAGGGTGGGAGCCGGGCGCCCTGAGTCGCGAAGGCGCGGCCTGACCGCGATTCCATGCTTTCCTGGAAATCTGAGCCAGGTAGGAGATGACGGTGACAGTCTAGGAGGTGACTGATTAGTAGGCGAGGCAAGGTGGAAGGCAGGTAGGTGATGACAGACCTGACCTTAGGAGGGACCCTGGGGAGGCCAGTCTGGCCATTGAAAGTGAGGGAAAACACTTTGAGATGGAGGAAGGGGAAGGGGGCGTGAATGGAATGAGGAAAGCGCTGGGATGGCTGAGGATCTGGAAGGCTTGCACAACACCCACATACGGCACCCCATATGGGATGGAGTTGGGGCTTGCGATAAAACTTGCCTTAAATGCAAAAATGCGGCTCAATCCATGACTGAGCAAGACTAGTAGGTCAGAATCATGCACAGGCTTAAGTCACCCAGGAACAAGGCTTTCCCCATTTTCAAGGGATCTGAGGCAGCGAGGAAGCCATAAGGCCAGTAAAATAACACTTTTTAATCATGATAACTAAACGTTTCATAATCATTTTGGTCTCTACACTACTTTGATTTAGGGAATAGAGTGTCCTGGATAGCGGGCACATGTCTACATTATACCCTAGTCAACCTTAAGGTATTAGTAATTAATGTTAAGGTATTCATTCTTTCTCGTACATTAAGAAATAGACATTCTCTTTATAGTCTTTTGTGAGTTTGGTTAGTTTGCATTAATCTCCCAGTGGTTAATTACCTTGGTCAAACTGCTTAAAATCTAGTTCCTGAACATTAGCAATCATCTCTTAAATTACTCTCCACAACAATCATTTTCTACATATCTTGACGTCCAAAAACAATGTGCTTGGGCCATTTTCTTGCCCATCATCCAGTAATGCCTCCCAAAAGCCACTCACTTAGGCTCCATGAGATCCTGATTGATGAGTTTTTGGCATCAGCTCAATTGAGTCACCAAGTGAAAGGGCCATAAAATCTGTAGACTACAAAAGGTTCTTAATTATCAGTATATTGTAGAACATGCAACTATGAATACATTTCCCCATTTTGTTACGAAAATGGACTGACTCACTTTGAAGTTTTAAGATTCTTTGATGGGAGGACATTTGCTAAAACTGGTAGTTTAATGACCTGATTACTATATTAAAAGATTATGAAGACTAGATTTGAAAACCTACAGTATAATGTGCCACTTATTTTGCCAAGTTGATTGAATATGTACCACACCAACATCTATACCATAGTGGTTGTGACCATAGGAATCCATTCCTCAAATATTAAAAATAGTATATATTCTTTCCTACTTAGATAACTGTGGCAATCAATAAAATAGTTTACACTCTTTGTTTGCACTGGTAACATGCCTCTTATTACCCTTATTTTTCATTTCCTTCTAGCCTCACCCCATTCCTCTGTTCATCCTCATAGCAAAACTACAGAAAAAGTCAGTGTTCATTAGTTCCATTTCTGATCTCCAGTCCTCTCTTGGGCTTCATCCTTATTACTTCATTGAAATAGTTCTTACAAAGTCACTATGACCTACATCCTGCCAAAGACATCTGTGGTGGAGATTACTAGCTACTCACAATAAGCTGATTCCTCTTTTGCCTGTATGCATGGCTTATTTTTTGCAACCTCCATGAAAGTTGGGGATGCTATGTGATTAAATTCAAGCCAGTGGAATATGAGATGTGTATGTTCCCATTCCTGGCCCATAAAAATCTAGCGCTCATGAGCCTCCATGCTCTTTTCCCCTTTTAGTTGGTTAAATTAGAGATGACTCTGTGATCTTGAAGCTACCTATTGAAGTTGGTAGAGTCTTCTTTCCCGTGTCCCTAAACAGCTAAGTGGAGGGAGGGCCAGACCACTTGCCTTTTCGCTGCCACTCTAATACTTTTTTTTTTTTTGAGACAGTCTCACTCTGTCACCCAGGCTGGAGTGCAGTAGCATGATCTCGGCTTGCTGCAACCTCCGCATCCTGGGTGCAAGCAATTCTCTGCCTCAGTCTCCCAAGTAGCTGAGATTACAGGCACTTTACCACACCCAGCTAAGTTTTGTATTTTTAGTAGAGACGGAGTTTCACCATGTTGGCCAGGCTGGTCTTGAACTCATGACCTCATGATCCACCCGCCTTGGCCTCCCAAAGTGCTGGGATTACAGGTGTGAGCCGCCTCACCCGGCCTACTTTTTATGGGAAGGGGAGAAAAAACTATTGTATCTGAGCCATTAGACATTTTGGGACCTATTTATTATAGCACTTAGCCCACTCTAATTCACTTGCTATTTTATTTGAACTTTTAGCAGCATTTGACACAACTGCCTATTCTTTCCTTCTGATAAACTCTTGAAACTTGGCTTTCCATGACACCAATACTTATATTTTGTCTCCTTGTTTTCTTTGTGTGCTCCTCTCCTGTACTATAATCCTAAATTTTGGAAGTACATCAGCCTTTTCTCTTAAGTGATCTCATTTAATCCAAAGGCTGCAAAGATCTATTTGCACCATTCACAGCACAGACTTCTCAGAACTCCAGAATCACACATTTAATTGCCTGACATTTCTTCTTGGCTATCCAACTGGCATGTGAAACTTAACATAGCTAAAATAGAACTGTTGATTTCCCTCCTCAATCCACTTCTCCTCTTTCCCTATGAGTACCCGTAGCCTTCCATCCTAGCTGCCCCAAAACCCTATGAGTCACCCTTGACTATTCCCTCCCTCACATTCAAAATACAACCCCTAAGCAACTTTTATAGGTTCTGTCTCTAAAACATCTTATTAGCTGACCACTAACCGCTGTATATCCATTGCTACAACCCTTAACCAAGCTACCATCACCTGTCACGTGACAGCTCTTCCTAATTCAGATCACATCAACGTTCAGATCTCCACAATCCCAAAAGTAAAATTGAAAATACAAGGCCACCCTCAATTTAGCTCTACCTACCACTTAATATCTACCTACCTCTTAATATCATCTGCATTATCATTAGAGCCATACTGGCCTTCTTATTGCCGTTTAAGATACCAAGCTCCTTCCAAAAACAGGGCCTCCGAATTTTCACTTGGAACACTCTACCCCTAGGTTTACTCATGGCTGCCTTCTCTGCAAATCTTAGGTATACCTCTTTTCATTACCATTCTCGGTAGAACAGCCCCAACTCCAGTCACTATTCATCCTCTACTAGTTCTACTCCAATTAGCCATGTGATCTTGAATAGCCAACCCTACTGTGCCTGAGTTAACCCTTCTATAAATCGTACTTCTCTCATAGGATTACCATTAGAATCAAATAGGTTGTATTCTGCCCAGGACAAATCAGAACTGAAATTAACATGCTTGCTGCCTCTCTCCTTCAAAATACAAATCCTAATGGTAGGTGATGTCTGCTGTACTGCCAGCCACCATCTAGGCAAGTTTCTGGCACATACTCAGTGCTAATATTCATTGATGGCTATACAAGTTCTCACATCTTTCACATATATGTGTTACTTTATTATGTTTGCCTTGAAACACTAAGTCATTCCAAGTCACCTTCCAATGAAATCTCTCACAGCTGCTTTCTGTTCCAAAAAGCTTGTCACTGTGTCAGGCAGTTTTTTTGTTGTTTTTAACCTCTCCAAGCTATAGTTCACCTCTTAAAAAACAAAAAGAGAGTTATCAGAATAAAAGGTATAATGTATATAAAATGACAGATCATCAAAAAATATTCCTTTTTTCAATTCATAAACACAGTATTCAACATCTATTAACTTCTGTTCCAAGTCTCCACTCTGCCTTATTACTTAATACTGTGCTTCCTCAATTAATTCCTGATTAAGGGATCCTTAATTTTAGGCCTGCTAGTATGGAGACTGAGTTTATGATTTTCTAAAATAAAGCCAGGATAAACATGCATTGCATTCAAAGTACAAATTCCTGGTGTTTAAAACCCCTTTTCTAAAATTAGTCATTCTGAGGTTGATTTTATAGCCTTTTATTTTTGAGACAAGGTCTCGCTCTGTTGTCCAGGCTGGACACCAAGTCCTGGGCTCAAGTGATCCTCCAACATCAGCCTCCTGAGTAGATGAGACCACGGGCATGTGCTAACATGCTTGGTTAATTTATTTTTTGTGGAGACCATGTCTCTCCATGTTGCCCAGACTGGTCTTAAATTCCTAGGCTCAAGTTTCCTTCCTGCTTCAGCCTCCCAATGTGCTAAGATTACAGGTGTGAGCCACCATGCCTGGCCTGTGTCACCCTTTAAAGCAGATTGACACTTTGACAATCCATCATTCAAATTGCCTCATATTATAGTATCCTGAGCCTCCATATCTTTGGCTGTAAACAAGTACACTTAGCTTGCTTAAATTAAACCAGATGCTATTTCTCTCCCTCAGATGTAACAGTCCTAGACTATAAAATCTTATCAGTTCTGCTTCCATTCTTGTTATTGTACCACCTATTTTCAGTACAGCATATTTTATCACTCCAAATCTTTTTTCTTTAATGGCTTTCTATGGCAATTAGAAAAAAAGAAATCCAAATAAACTCCTTACCCTGGCTTACGATCTTGGGAGAATCCTGTCTTCTACGTCACCTCTTATCTTACTACTCTGCCATTCCTTGACTCACTCCATCCAGCCTTTTTCATTTACCCTCCAAATTTTTCCAGTTTTATATAATGCATTAGCTAGTCCTTATGGTGGCATGCACCTGCATTAAATGTCAACTCTAGAATGGGTGACTGGGGAACACCTGTCTCAAGTTGTCACTGAGAGGCTTTGTATTATCTTAATGTTCTACATCACATTTACAGCTACTTCTCCATTATCAAGTAACTACTCTCTGGGAGACCAATGGCCTATTCATGTATCCTTAACATCAAGAACATGTCCTAGTGTAGAGTTCCTAGTGCACAGAGGTGCTTAATAAACAATGTTCAATGGTTGATCTTCACTAGAACAATGAACTATCTAAAAC